GTGGGGTAGGGGGGGAGAATCTAAGCTTGCCACCCAACCACATGTAGAAATGGCTAGGAGGGCTGCTCAAAACCTGTCTCACCTCCTTGACATTTGAGCTTTCACCAGGGTAAGGAGTGAAGGAGGGACCTGCTGGGGTAAAGCACATCCAGTCATTTAAACTTTATTGACATGATGCTTTCTTCACATGCCAGTTTGTAAAAAGCAAGGGGGAAGAAGTGATTCTTGTGACTGTCACAGCCATGGATTTTAGTGGCCTCTGGTGTACTCCACAGGTGACAGGGACTGGGAGAGTGTTGGGAGTTTACCTTCTTGAGGATGAAAGGCACAGCTTGTGCAGCTTGAAGGCTTCATCACCCCACCAATATGTGTAACAGAAAAAGTCATCCTGGCACCCACACAGCTCCAGAAACTTTCAAGTCTTTTTGTGCTCACATTTCTCTGTCAAAGGAGAGGGGAGTTACAATGTCTGAGTGCAGAGGTGGAGACTGGGAGGGACATACGTTGAAGCAAAGTCACACGAGTGGGACATGTGGATTGAAAAGGATCCTATGCTTAGTAGGCGTTTTTCTTAGTAGGCTTGTCTATGTCTCGTTTTTCCAAACAATCTCACGTTGCTTAGTATTACTGTTGGTGCAGTTAAGGTGGGCAGCCAGGGGTCTCAGGAAAGCACCACTTTGCCCATGGGAGTGTTCAGGTTATTCCATGCAGAAGGGTATGAACCAGCGCTAGAGGTTAAAGATTGATAAAGCTTTTGATTTTTGCATTTAAAGTATCAGGCTTAGAGAAATGCACCCAAGAACATGGTCTCTGGCAGTAAAAAGTAGTGGCGGGACAGACGGAGCACAGTCCATTTTCCCTTGCAGGAAAAGGAACCTTCAGGGTCACTCACAATTTCTGGTGGTAGCAGGGTCTGTGGCATCTGCTCGCTCAAGTGCCACCTGTGTTGCTCATTATTGCTAGGTACATTTGTTTATATCTAACAGAAACAAAAGCATTCCCTGTCATGTTTTAAGGTTGGTAGGAAGTTACTGCATACATGCACAGGAAAAACAACAACAGTAACGTTAATACATATTGAAGTAGTGGGATTATTGCCAAAATAGGTCTCTGCAGGCAGGCAGAGAGAGCTCATTTCTGCAGAGTGGTGTACAGCTACTTTGCACCTGAGTGGAAATTATCACAGAGGAGCAGAAAGAGCAAAAATACATAGGTTCCAATTTTTTGGTCCAGGGGTGTTTTGCTACTGATACTAGTAAGAATGAGATTGAGTCCAGATACCATTTATTGCAGTTATTCAGTGTACCTTAGAATGAATGTGAAACTGGGTTTGGTATCAAACTTCCCAAAGGGAACACGTCTCAACTTATATGCATAGCCACTTTATCTTCTGCTGATGTCTCCTACCTTTGTAATATAAGTTTTATTTCACAGCTGCAGTCTTGATAAAATCGGAATTACAGGATGAGAAAGAGGAGCAGCCCTTTAGATTGAACTTGATGTGAAAGTTTGTTGTCTCTCCCCATAAAACACGTTATGTGTGCAGACCCCATGGTAGTCAAGCATTTTTGTCCACTAGTAACGAACTGCTGCCACCAGTGGGCTGCGGTTTGTATCGACACACTCTTTTAATGCTACACATCTGCGATACTCGTAACAGGAGCCAAAATATTCCAAGTCTCCAGGTTTAAAATCAAGACACGCCTGCACAGGACAGTTGGAGGGAACCATGTACTAGATCAAAAATTTCATGTCTGTCTCCTCAATACACGCTGAGCATAGACGTTACTCTCTTGGTTTAGACACACTCACAAATTTCATAAGGGGTAATTTTCTCCCGATAAACTTCACACCACATCTACTAGTGTTAGTCCTCCCACACTGGCTTCTTTGGCAGAAATATGATTATATATGTATACATTGTAAGGATCAAATTTTTACTGGTGATTGCCGTAGTTTTGCACAGGTTGGACATCAGTATTCAAGGAAACATAAGCTCTAGATGCTGAAGGGCAGCTTCAGCAGAAGAGATACATTCGTGTCCTGAAACAGATGCATATGCCACAGCATCTTTGAGCACCCATTGCCTCACTCTTGACTAAGTTTATCAAAGATCTAGAAACAAAGTCACTTCAGAATCCCTCAGTGCCTGGTCAGACCATGGCTAACACACACTAGGAAGCCTGACTTCACGAAAATGCGATTGTTTCCACTGTTTCTCTGAAAATGTGGCCAGAGGTTGTGGTGATGATAATCTTTACATAGATACATATGAACCTACTATATATACAGTGAAAATATAATATACAATATGTAATACACATGATATACAACATAAACTTGCAGCATAATATTACATTTTATAATGTAATACAAAATTATAATAGTATAGTATATGTATTATATTACATTGTTATATTGGCTCCATGGTTTTAGTTATATTTCCTAGCCTGAGGGTATTTCAGATTAACATCTTTTACCTTGCTGGAAAATATCCTACCCAGGCAGTTATGGTTAATGTAGCACATCCAGTTTACACACCACTAAAAAGAAAGCAAAGCAGCAGGGCAATGGAGATTCAGTCCTACTTGGATGGATTACTGACATAGGCAAAATTATTTAAGAGGACAAATTCAGGCTCCTCAGTCAACATGGATTTCCTGAAAAGATTCATCATGTTGTAGAATCCTATCCCTCCTGAGCTGCCATTTGCATGACAGAGGCATAGCCCACAGTCTGCTCAACTCTCCCATCTGCATCCTAGGAACATCCACCCTGCCATAAATTTTCACCCATTAAAAGATGATACTGAATAGAAACATAGACCTTACAGTGGGTTCATGCACAAACTGGATGTCCACATGCAGTTTACTACTATCAACATCTTTTCTACAACATTGAAAAATCTCAAATCCAGTTCTTCAAGGCAATAAATGACTAGGACTCTGTAAATGTGGGGTGATTTTAGTGAGTATTGCTTTACATCGGTCTAAAGAGACTCTCTCCTGCTGATGCTTGGGCAGAGTCCTAGCAAGAGCTTCATTTGTTACATGCTGATGAGTAAAACAGCTGCTCCAATTACTGCAGTGAGTCTAACCCCATCATTTGTTCTGTGTTTGCAACTCCAACACACTGACATCAGAAAGATTCCAGGCATTACAGGAATGCTGCTAATAAGTACGTAGTACACTCCTTTTCTGAAATTCCCTAATATGAGGAATCTAAAATTATATATCCTCTCATAGAGTAACATGAGGTTAAAGGAAAAATAAAAATCCCACTCTATTAAATAGCAGTGAGAGGATAGTCTGTTTGCCATCTGAATGAATCCATAGAATATTTCAACACAAAACAAAAGATTTTGTTGGTGTTTGGTCAAACATCTTTCTTCAGGCCATACTATTGAGCACAATTGCTTCAGCACCCTCTAACCATCTACAACATCTGGGCTTCCAACTCCATAAATAACTTTCTTTGGATTTGCTGCCTTTACTGACAGCTGCTGTTTACACAATACTTGGAAAATAAGATAATTTATTTTGAAGGTGAAACAAAGAATTTGAAGACTAGTTTTGTCCATTTTTAAGAATAAAAACCAAAAAAGCCAAAGAGGAAACCCTAGCATTTATGGATTTTTTCCTTCCTAGTGGGAGAGAGAAGGAGCAAGGAGTGTGAAGGGAATCAGTCAAGAGGAAATGCTGAGGCTTTTCAGTTTCCTGTTCTTTGTGAGAATGAGGGACCCAACAATAGGGAACCTTCGGTCAGAGAGAGAGGCACTCACTTGTTATCGATTTAATTTGCAATACTGAAGTCACCCCAAAAGCTCTGAAGAAGCAGATCTGCAAGGTATCCACATTACAGGCAACTGCTGGGCAAGTACTTTGGTGGGTAGACAGCACTGCATACATTTTATTTAATTGAAGGTTTGTGTGGATTCATTGGCTGAATTATAACTGGAGTTTTAACATGTGCTCAAAAAATATTCTATGATGTGTTAGTATTGCTTCTGGAAAATATAAAGACATTGCTTCCTAACACATTAGATTATGAAGGCTAGTAGAGCAGAGGATAAAAAAGAATCATTAACTAAAAAAAAAAAAAAAAGCCTTATGGGAGAGATTTCTTATGGGGACTCTGAACTCAGATAGCGAGGCAAAAATAGTGCCATAGATTAGAAACAGTGGGAAAAACATGTTGGAGCTAAATATTCAGGTCTGAGTATGGTAGGTTATCAACATGGGAGAACTGCAAGGATCCATGCAAAGACAGTCTTTGGAGTGAAGCATGAGGCTTTATATTCCTTCAGGAGAACAGAAGAACATAATTGTACATTTACTTCATAACTTTTTTTTTTTTTGTTAGTCGTACCAAGCTCTTCTCCTCGGTATCTTGTGACAAGAACTCCCAAAGTTAATTTTCAGTTGTGTGAAAAATGTTTTTACCAACTGCAGATGCATGGCGCTCCACTCACTGGAGATCTGCTTCTGTTGCATGAGGGTAAGTGATAAACATATCCCCAGTTATTCTTTTTCTCATATGTGTCATTCATTCCATTATTAAATCTTCAGGAGGATGCTTTCTCTTATCTTCTTTTCAGAGTAACCATGTGCAGTCCAATGAAGTTCCCTTCAGATGGACAATTGTCATGGCTTTTGAGATTGCCTTTCTGTGTGGTGCCCGTATTTGCTAGGCAGAGAGTGGAGTGAAGCATGGTGACCACCATTCAGTCACACCTGCAGTGTCGCCCGGGACTTGTGCAGTCAGAATGATATTATTGCTATTGAATGCTTCGATGTCCCAGATAAGAATAAACTGGTCATTCATTTAATGGCATGCTGACATTTTCAGATTTATTGCTTGCATTTTATTCCTCATATACTCCTGTGCATTGTTTCTCTTTTCTGAGTGTAACAGAGCAGAGCTCCTGATTGAGATAGGAAAAGGAAGCAAGTGGTATTTCTTGATGCAGACTATCAAAAACCCCATGTCTTATCTCTCTCCTCTCCTCTCCTCTCCTCTCCTCTCCTCTCCCCTCCCCAGTCCTCTCCTTGCATACATCTGCATTTGGTTTTTACCTGCTCTAAAATCATGCTTTTAGTGGTTATGACTAGCAAACAAAACACCATTAGGAAGAAAATAAATAATACCATGAAATAGAGAGTGGGCAAGTGGGTATTTGCAGGGGATACTGTTTTGCTGAGGGAAGGACAAGTGGAGTTGTGCATGAGTTGTATTGATACACTTATGAGTGAATTGCTTAAAATGAGCTATATGCCATTATAAAATGCTTTCAGCAACTTTTTTGGAGATCAGCATTTGGATTAGACTTTTATATCTAGAACTAGCCACAGACCAAGAAGTCACATATGGAACTTCTCTTTTTATTTCAGCTATTGAATCTGTGAATCCTCTTTCTGACATCCAGAGTCCATTTTGAAATCAGGGAAGATGACATGAAAAGTCAGGCAGCATAAGAAGTCATTTATGCTTATTGATTTAGGCAGTGCCCACCTGCAACCAGCAGCCATAGTAACTCACCTTGAATTTAAAACCTTAAAACCTTTCATTATTTCTTTTGCACAAGCAAAGATACACTATGGATAATTATGGATAATAGTATTCCATAAGCATTCACCTTTGTCCTGTGGTTTGGTGCCAAAATAGGTCAAATTTGTGGCCACCGGACTAGAAGGAGAGCTGAGGGGGTTTGGTATCAGCTGAGATGAGGGGGTCAGAGACTGCTTTTGACACTTATAGTCACAACTGTCTTGGGAGAGAAAGTTACTGTATGTTTTCAATTAATGGGCAAAGGAAAGAAATGAAAGATATCAAAGGTGCTGGTAATGGAGAAAGGGTAAAGTGAGACTGATCAGCTACCCTCAGAGAATGGATTAATTATTTTCTGACACAAATTCTTGGCCCAAGCCTTTCTTGGGGCAAGAATTCAAGAAGCACTGTAAAATGACTTGGTATAAATGGAAATTTAGGATATTTTTTCTCTCAGCATCTTAAATAGTTTATACAAACCTGCCCCTTTTCAAATGATGCACTGAAGTGCTCTTGTGGTACTTAATATCAATATTCCTCTTGCTTAATATCAATATTCCTCTGAGATTTTACAAATACATCAGCAGCATTAGATGGACAAAATCCAGTCTGTTGTAATTCAGATGTCCAACATACGCAATGCTTCACTAAACATTTGAGTATGCAGCCTGGAGAGCAGACCAAAAACCAGGTCTACCTTAATGTTGCTGCCATGCTTGTCCTAAAGCCTGAGATGGGCGGCTCAGGAAGCCTACAGGGGAAGATGTAGTCTGCTTATAATTGTGTTTCCTGGTTTTGACTGTGGACATTTCCCACAGGTGGTATATTCCCCCACCCCTTCCACAGGTGCTCAGGGGAATGCTGAGCATCCCTGTCCCCCACTTGCAATGTCCCCTCGCCCTTTGCAGTGCAGAGGTGCAACATGTGCTGGTGCCTGCTCTTTGCACTGTGCTTTCCAAAGAAGTGGCAGCCTCCAGGTAGATGGACCTACTCAGCCCCTGTAGGATTAAAACTTAACTCTAACACCCCAGGAGAGCATTTTAAACCTGATGTGTACCCCTCATCCAGACCATGGTGGAATGGAAACACTGCACATGCATGAGTGCAAGGATTAACACAAGGTGCAAGAAGGGGCATGGCTTGAAATCACAGGATCTCCTGTTTCCCAGATAATTGCTGTATCTCCTAGGATTTTTCTCACAAGGTTGTTAGTCTTATTCCCTACCACTCTCTCATTTGGTTGGTGAGGCTGTTTGCTTTAACACGGAGTGTGACAGAGCAGTAAGTAGCCACATTCATGAAACATAATCTTCTGAGCAAATATGAGTGGCTAAAACTTAAGCTCCTCTAAGAAATTTTAAGCTAAATGAAAAAACACCTTATGCCTTTGGGTACCAAAAGGTAAAGTGTGGCAAGTACCTTATCACATTAATTTAGACAGATGAAGTCAGGAATGGAGTTCAGGCAAAGGGAAGATTGGGTTAAACAGTGTGGCTGAGATAAATGTATTTAAGATGAATCATTCTGATGAAATTTGACTTAAAATATTTATAGATCAAATCAAAGTAATAACTTACGCATAAGGTGTTCTTCAAAGAGTGTGGAAAAGACAAGAGAGGTCTCTAAAAAGCAGTAAAAGTCAAAGACCATACCCATTTTTGAATGGTGGAATACAGAAAAACACTTGACAGCCTTACTTCAAACCTCAGAAAAAAATATCTGAAAGATAATGTCATGATGAAGAACTGTCAACAGGGATTCAAGGCAACACAATTTCTTTCTTTGGATAAGGGGAAAGTAATAGGTGTAAAATATCCTGACTCCAACTAGGGCCCCTGAGACCGCTCCTGTTTCATGTTTGTGTAAGAAAACTGAGGAAATATGGCTAGGATGGGAAATCCATATGAAATGTGTCCACTGAGAGGAAGAATCAGCAGTTGGTTCTCTACCAAGGTAAGAGGTGTTTTGAGAGAGGGATTTTTATTAGTAGCTTGGAGGACACAGTCTTTTTTTTTTTTTTTTTTTTTAAAAAAAAAAAAAAAAAAAAAAAAAAAAAAAGAAGTAGCTTAGGAAGATTAGTCTACTTGCAGAAATAATGGACACTCCCTCGTTGCCCTAACTGCTGTTGAAAGCAATCACAGAGGGTGCGAGTCATCCTACCTAAAGTCAGTCTGCAGCTGCGGCCCGGGCTCTTCCCACATTCAGTGCAACAGCATCTCTTGGGTGATTCATCCCATCCAAGGACAGAGGTTGAGGATAAGGGAAATGAATCACTCCCTAGAGTTTCCCCTGTCTGCCATCCTGTTGACTGTAGGATAGTATAAAAGGACTACCTTACAGTAGCGGCTTAACTTTTCAATAACTAACATCAGGTGAGATTAATCCCATCTTTTGTAGCCACTTAATTACCCAGATTCTCATATTTGGGTACTTAATTCCCATTAAAGCAGACACTAAGCAGATCTGATAACTTGACCTGGGATCTGTTGACTGAGCAACAAGGCTCCCACATGGAACAGGTTATACGAAGATCTTAAGACTCCTGCTTGTTTCTGCATTTTCCAGGTTAATCACTGGGCTCACTAAGGTCTCTGGATACAGTAGGGAGGAAGGATCATGTTATCATCTGATAGTTTTAGCTATCAACCTCACAGAAGGAAGAATGAAACTTAGGGTGTGGGCCTGTGTCACAGTCTGTGCAGTATTGCTCAGTGGAAAGGAGTACAAGTTTCACAAATAAATCAATGGAGCTAATGTTGATCCCCTGTCCCAAACATCCTCTTCCCACGTATGCCACAGTGATGTTAATGGAAGCCTTTCTTGTGAAATGAAGAGCCACATATTTTATCTTCATGGTAACAATCCTTGAATGGAAATACTTCTTTAAGCCTTATACCTAGTTCTTTGCAGACATTCAGGAGGGGTGGTGGCTCAACAAATATTGATAATTCTGCTACTGAAGAATTATAAGGATAATTCTCCTTTTAGCATGAAAAAAAAAAAAAAAAAAAAAAAAATCTGCATTAGGAGCCAGAAGAGAGCTCTGCTACCCCACAGGATTTTCCATGCAGCCTTTCAGTACAAGCTCTGTTCTGTTCCATTTTTAATAAAATAACTTTTTCTGTCACATATCATCTCTGATCCCAAACTAGCCTAAACCCTCAGTACTCACAGAAGTGGACTAGGATCTTGTGTCCATTTTCTGTGGCCCCGTTGCTAAGGTCTGGAATAAATAAAGCCTTCCCTGCTGATTGGCAGCCCAGCTGAGCCCAGCACACAGCCACACTCCCCA